GTTGAATTAAATGAAAAATTTTCCAGGTCCATCACTATTGCACAATCTTGATGAATGATGATTAATTTGCCTCCAGACCTTTATCCATGGCTACTGAATATTCCAGCCTTGGCTATTTCCCCATGAGGGTGATCCTTAGAAGAAGAGAATGACAAAAAAAATGTACAAAGATGAGTTGATGATTCCCGCAAGGAATCGGTGGCTACTCGAAAAGGAGCCACGAAGCAGATAACAATAATGTCTGATGCGCCCTTCATTCTTAATCAGTGCACCAATTTTGGCAGAGATGGCTCTTCGTTGATGTCAGAACTGCTGCCAATGTCGCTAGGAAGACTACTGTTTTCAATACAAGATACTGCCAATCAATACAAAACCAGAGTTCATGAGAATTAATCGTTGAGATAAAAGCGTACCAAGTACAAGCGAATCAATCAATTGCGGGTTAATTACCAACTACCAAATCCAAAATTAGACACGAATTCAAGGGGTGATTCGATGAGATCAATCTTTCTTCATTTTGTTGGGGACTAGGTTTAGTGAGATCGCAATGGAATGGATTTGTAACTGTGAATTGGTGGGGCGTGCCAGGCCAAGGCAGCAGTGCAATGCCGAGGCGACACACAAGAGCCTCAGTAGCAAGCCACTGTATTGAGCTCTTCCCCTAGAAAAATTAATTTAATATCATGCAAGCCGATGGCTCGCGTATCAGATATTAAACTGATAAGAACAGATACTACACTTGATCTTAGCCAAAAGGCCGAGAAAGGTATGCTTCATAGCGTAGTCTGAAGAAGCTTTTATAGTTCGTTGGTCCTCATATTGTGCTTTCAACATGTCCAATGTGGGACTCGGGAACAACCGACCTTCTTTATCTTGAACCAAATTCTAATTGTCACACAGGCATTTTAATCAAGAAAAAAATAAGTGTATCATGAAAAAAGTAAAATGAAGTGAAGTGAAGTAAGATAAAGGAAAAGGAAACTAATTTCTCACACGTGTTTGGTTAACAAGAAAATGATGCAAAAATAAAATACAAAATCTTTGTTTGTTTAGCTAAAAAGTCACGAAAAAATTGACTAGTGTATTCATTAATAAAAAAAATATATTCTAGATTGAACTTCTTCATTTTTGGTATTTAATATACATAAAAAACACATAATAAATATAACATCTTGCATATTGGAAGAGTTGCTTACCACAAAATTAATCACATTCTTTAACAATAAGTTCATATACTATGTGTGTGTATTAGTTACTTCACAAATATATAGACATAAAAAAGGAGTATAAAATGTAAAAGGAAAAAAATATTAATTTCATATACATTCAACAAATTACTAATTAATTAATTATTAAAATACGAATAAAATATCAAACTACAAGCTAGTTTTTTGAATTGTAAATTCTAAGATGTTTTCATTTATGTAGAAGTTTACAATGGAGGAAATAATTCAGAAAGAAAGAAGTTGTAAATAGAATTAGTTGAGACTTTTCAGTAACTCGCTCTTACTCTCCTATCGAGTTTTGCACGAAAAATTTTATAGGAAAATGAGTGAGAAAATTTTATGTGGTGGGTCTCATAAGTTTCCTAACAAACTAACATTTAATACTTAGAAGAAAGAAAGTTACAACCTAGGATTTTAGAGAGAATAATAGGTTGTGTGTGGCCTAAATAGCATTTTAAGCTCCTCCCTTTTCTTTTTTTCTTTTCCTCCTGCTCCATGTCACACAAGACTCACAACTCTTCCCATTCACGTTCCAACTACCAAATCCAAACTTTAAACCTAGAACTTGATAACCATTGGACCAATCGTAATGGTTAACATTTTGGAGCTCCTCATATGAACATTTTCGTCCCAACTTGGCTAGCCATATCCACATTTCAATAATTACAGTTTTACTCTATATTAGGAACAAATAATTAGGACAAAATTTTCGAGTTGCAGAACCAAGAACAGTACGGTCTTCAATGATTATGATCTTGAATCTACATATCTTGATAAAAATATGTAGTATAGCATCCTCTTGTAGTAGTTAAATCTGACATAGGTCTTTGCTAAGTAAATTGTTCAACTGCGAATTAGTCCTATTTATGTCTATGCCTCCAATTAAATTCCTCAACTCTAATTTTTCATTTTTTTTTTCCCGTTGTCTGAAGCATCTGTCAAAAACAAAAAATGTCTCAACTTTTTGACCTTTGAAAACAGCCAAATCCAAAAGTTGATATGCTGGTAAAAGCAGTGGGAAATCTCCATAGCACAAAAAGTGGAATTAGAGATGTCATAACAATAATATTAATTAACCTTAAAAGAAGAAAAAGATGCTCCTAAAACACCTTAACATATTAAACATGGACTTTTCTGGGAGAAGATGAGAGATCTTTCGGCTGGCTGTCCTAAACATGCTTTTATAGATTCCTCCAATTGAAATTACAAATTAGGTCACTACCTAGTAATCCTCGTGGCCAAAATGATGGTGCAGCGAAGAATGCCTTTAACTAATGTGGCTTTTCTGGGGCCATTATGGTTCTTAATTTAATTATTTGCTCGTAATTTGTTGCTTAAACAGTTGATATACTTGTTTGTAAAACGCGTTTTAGAAGTAAGAATATTGAATATTGAATCCCTATCATCCAATAGTGCAACTAGTTATTGGATATATTGCAACGAAATTGAACTTTTCTATTTTCTCTGTTCATGTTTAACTTTTCACAGGAGTTCCATTAATCTTTTCTTTCAATGTATATGACGGGGCAAGAAAACTGTCTAAGTTGAAAAAAGTTAACAAAGCTACTGCCTTGGTGGTGGTGCCATAGAAGCTCATGTCCTAACAAGTACAGCATCCTGAATTACTAGCTATTTTTAAGAGTTTTTGTAGAAAAATGTATTGTAACAATTTGATGTATGTGAAATAAAAAAATAATTAGAAAATATATTCACAAAAAACGTAAAAAAGGAATTGTCATCACAAAATTGCACATAGTAGCAGAAAAGTATAAAGACGAATCTATGATCTTTCTTCTATGAAGTAATTATCACGTGAAGTATATGTAGCTTTTGCCTTCTTGATAGTGTTGATGGATTTCTTGGTAGACAGAAATAACAAAAAAAAAAAAAAAGAGAGAGAAGGAAAAATGGAAAGTTAAACATTAGAAAATAAAAAGGAAAGTAGGGAAATTATGGCACCATTCTTGCATTACAAGCCTTTTTCTCTCATAGGAGTAGATTTTAATTTTTTTACAACAAAGCAACCACTAACTTCAACTATATTCTATTATCATAAATTCTTTTAAATCGTTGATTGCAATAAGTCATCTAGTAAATTATTCATTGCAATTTAAGCTGAGTCATATTCAGGAAATGTAAATGAAAACAATATATGCGCATTGACATGGTAATTTATTCGTGTTAAATTAGTGCCTATCGAGCATCGATCAGAAGAATGAAAAAAAGAAAAGAATTAAACTCTAGACAAACAATTGCTTTGGTAGTGGCATAATTTTTTATTTTACAAGATAATTAGCTATTTTATTCATTTGCTGGTGAAGACAAGATAATGTGGTAAAAGTGATAAAGATGTTTTCTCAGTAGCTAGTTTGATAGCATAGTTTAGTTCAGCCATCTTTTCACGTCACACCAGTCGATTTTCTCAGATTCTCAAGTAGAACCATCTCCTCCTGATAGGATAATTTCATCCAACAAAGTCTAGAAATGCTGTTGTAGAAGTTTTTAATTCGTGGATTTCCGTTAAAATCTGAGGATAAGCCCTACTTTCCACAAATAGCTTATCTCTTCATTAAAGTAAGTCCTCGAATCTTCCCAAGTATGAAAGCCAAACTCCTGTATCCTCATGCACTCTTGCCTCTCATTATTAAGGTCTTATGTAGCCTTATCCGAGCTCCAATAACTAACTCATAAAGAACTTCCAAATTGTGTGCAGAGCTCAAAATTTCTTATTCTTGAGTAGCATTTTGCAATGAGCATCAGATGCTGGAACAAGTCCAGGAGTGCAAGCGTCCGGTTAGGCCAGGCCAGCTTTAACAGAGAATATGAGACTCAACCAAGGTGGTTAAAGTTCTGGAAAAAATTCAGAAGACGCAAGAGGAAAGATTGTTACTCTTCTTCAATGTCAACGCAGACACCATATGATCCGGAAACTTATTTGCAGAATTTTGATGAAGGGTCAGGGACACTGGAGCCAGACAATCTCCTCAGGTCCTTCTCAGCTCGATATGCCAATCCATCAAGCTTGTCATGTAGGGGAGAGTTTCTATAGAGTAGTAGTGTTTTCCATCTTCTCAACAGAAGGTATGTTTTGTATATGGGCATGAGGCGTTTCACGGTTTGTAAAGAGTGTATTTGTTTGTTTTTTTCTTCCCCTTTCTTCTCTGATGTCTTTGTCTGAATGGAGTGTTGAGCTTTCTCAGTTCATCATTCAAGCCAATTAACTAGAACTTAAAAGGAAAAGGAAATAGACCTGAACTTTGCTGGCTTTTTAGTCTTAGAACCATTTAATATGCTCTCTTCATCAGTTCTAGTGAAAACATTGTAGAAGTCATCTGCAACATTCCTATGGCCATGACTTTGTTTAGTTATTGCCACATTTAGAACAATCAAGCTGGGTAAAATGAGTAAAACTCTTCTCAAAACCAAGAGATGGAAAAGTATCTTTGAGCTAATTTTCATCTCTTTTGAAGTCTCATCTGCCCCAGCAACATTAGTTGTTGAATAGTAACTAAATCTGAAACAGTTTCATCTGCTTCCCTCTTGCTTTATCATCTTTCTCAAAGCTTTGGCCTTTTCTAAAGCACTTGGGCTTTAACTTTTTTAGTTTTCGCCATACAAGCAAAGCAAATAAATATGCTCTATAGCGAAGCCTGTGATATTCAGAGTCCATAAAGAAAGCAAAATTTCAAGCAATTGCCTCAAGGTATGGTAAATCCGAAGCTAACAACTTCGTATGTTTGTTACCATAGCGAGACGTAACGCAAGAAGAAGGCAGAAAATGGCAGTTTTTTTTTTTACTTCAGTAGTTTCAAATTATTGCGAGTATTGTCCATTCCACTAGTTTTACATTTCAACAGTTAAGTTACATTAGTATGCCTTACATGGAAAGCATCCATCCAATGCAACACGAATTATAAGATTTCAGTTCGCAGTGCTATACATAAAAGGGAAGTATCAATCCCCTGCAAATGGAAGTATCAATATTCAAGATTCCATTGATGACAATAATGTTTTATGGATCTATTTCGTGTAAACCACGTACACACCTCAATTTTAATTAGTGTACCAATCAATCTTGTCATCATGAAGTTACACTGCAGCGTGTTTGCCTGGATGCTTGCAATTCTTGCAAGGAGCTGCTTGATTCTGATTCTTCAACTCATCTCCAGCGACGAGAAAGAATGCAGTGTGCCTGGAATGATTATTTGGTAATTAACTATGATACGATTCATATACAGTAGGTATATTCAGCTGCGATAATAAATTCGGGATAATATAATATCAGAAACCTCGCCTGGGATTTCTCATAATATCATTCAGGTCTTCTGAGGTTTTTAAAATCTCACTTGCCTCCCTTACCAGCTTGACAAGACCAAATGTGCCTATCAAAGGTCACAAATTGACAACACTACCCTTGCACTATTAATAACTACTTAACCCAACAAGCCAAAACAAAAAAGAGAATTTTTAAATTAAAAAAAAAAAGTAGATAAACAAAACAACCAAATCGCTACTCAATCTGGGGGCAAATTGGGTTGGGTTATAAGGTGAGTGGGTCGTAAGTCCAAAACCTCCCATTTACCAGAAAAAAAAAATTGCTATTCAATAATGATCCACATTTCTCAGTATCAAGGTGGTGGTGGGACAATAAAGTCCTTTGGTAAGTTAGATCTAGTCAAAGCCAACAATTTAGAAGGATTTGACATTGAAAAATTTTGTGGGACAGTTAAGGAAGTCAAGAAATTTTTTTAGGAAATATGTTTTAATACATGATGTAATTTAACTTGTATTGAAAATTAAAATAATCTCTTCATACGTGTGATTTGTGACATAAATTCTACTTATAGAAAAAATTTTTATAAATAAGTCCATAATTAAAAAAAATTAATCAAAATATGATATAATGATGAAATATATATATATATATATCTAGGAGTATACTATTCTTTTGGTTAAAACTTCATTAATTATGCTAGGTAATTAAGGGGCATGAAGTGATATTATGAGAAATGCCAGGGGAGGTTCCTGAAATTATCCCAACAAATTGACCAGAATTGTATTGTACCTGAAAAAGTTCAGCATTTTAGTCTTAGAATCCAAGTCAATATCTGAAGTTGCGTCCAAGGCTTGTTGCATGTGGTTTAACCACCTCTCAGCAGCTCGATGGGTGACTGGAAATGGACGATGGCGTCCAATCAAAGCAGGATGGCCTGCAACAACAGTATATATCTGATCCATTTGATAATTTAAGGCATATTATGAATGCGAAATAAAAATTTTTTGGCAAGTGCCTTCACCAAACATTATAAAAGCGTAAAACCAAGTGATAAAGAAGAGCTCCAGCCAAAGGGGGGAACTGATGGAAGAGAAGACAAAAGAATATTTTTCTCAAAGTTGAGTCCTTTCTTTTGCAAGGACATTGCTTTAGATCTACTATAAATTACATCAACAATACACCCAAGAAAAGGGCCCAATCCACAACAAAACCACATTGTACATCAGGAATAGAGGTCCCACGAAAAAAGCTGTACTAATCAAGATTCAGAGACATAGGTACATGTATTCATGAGGCTCAAAACATTTTGAACCCGGAAGCATGTTGTCCACAATTATCTTAGCTTTGCCATCTCCTTTTTCCCTTTACCACTTCATTTTGCTTTCATTTCTGGGCAGGGGGGAGAACAGGATGTGTCTCTTTTAAACTGTTCATGGGTACAAATTCCAGGCTTCATGCTCAGGTGATACACACCATGCATTATGTCATTAATGCAATGAAGCCTTAGGTGATTCAGATCCAATCAAAAGTGAGTGAATTTACTCGTAAACTTTACATAGACGAAAGGACTCTCTAATGATGATGGCATTCAAAAGCTCTCCACAATTGTTAAGCACAAAAATGTATCCAGCAATACAATATTTCATACTTGAAATACTTCTGTGACTTTCACAACCCAAAATACCTAAATTTAAGCCATCGAACAATGACCCATTCCCTAACAGCTACCAGCTCAGAATCATCAACTTCAGATGTATCCAAACTAATTAAGAAGCAACTCCTTAAAATTGAGACTCAAAAGCTAGCTTAAGGCCTTGTAAAAGCCACATAAAATTTCTCCCCCCATCCACACACCAAAACCGATAAGCATTAGAAAAAGTTCAAGTAGATGGCCAAACTACACGTTTCTTTTGATTTAGCAATTCTATCTCCACCTTGTAATCTGAGTTCTTCTAACATCATCTGGCTCGCTAATTAACTCCAGCAAATTAAATATATGCACTTCACTGTACATGTATAATTTAATCTGTGACACGATGCATTGAAGCTCAAACTACGTGAAAAAACAAAGGATGATATCATGCATTCTCAACAACCATGCTTTGTTGCATTCTGCCAATTTGATGGAAGACCAAACCACAACCAAAATCACAACCTTATAATCAACATAAAGATTATCCAAAATTCCTTGCTAACCTTTTCTCTGAGAGTAAAGAGGAGGCCCTCCCATTCTTTGCACAAAGAACTCATACTGATTTTGAATGGCATCTTCCTTCTTTGACTTTGAAAATATTGACCTAAACCACTCTTCCTCATCAGCATATACCCTGTTTTCCATTTTCAAAAACCCAAGATTTATTAAAAGAGAAAAAAAACTATGTAAATTGATTTGTACATGTACTAGTTAGGAATGCCTAATATATAATAAGTTCATATATAAGCCGTATACCTAACCATATAGAAAATCCAAGTTCCAATTTTACCAGTTCTGCAACCGATCTGCTCCCTATAACTCCAAAAATACTTTAAAATTAAGACTAACTCCTTCAGTCAATTATGGTAATCATCATTCATCCGCAAACAGACACCAAAATAGGGGAAAACAAGAGAACTGCAGAGAAACAGATAAAACAGGAAAAAGATACAATTTTTATTCCCAATCACAGAGCAGAGATATAGATTCAGTTTATTTATTCATCTATTTTTTGGTGTATCATCTTTCCGCGGATTTCCCAAAAAATCCACTAATTCAATTAGCAAAATAAATCCCAGAAACAAAAGTAGAAAAGAAAGAATCCCGTGTTTGTGACCTCTCATAGAAGTTGGTGGAGAGGCTGATGAAAGTCTGGAGGCCGAGCTTCTCATAAAGATTGGTGCCGTCGATAGCAAAGGCGTCCTCAGCGTCCACCCCACTCCATTCCGCCGCCTTCTCCTGCAGCGACTGCATCTGTCTTTCTTGGTTCAGTTAGAAAATCACGATTTTAAAACTTTTAGCAATATGTCTTTTTCTTCTGCTGCTGCAGCTGCTGCTGTGTACTGTGTGTTGGAGTAATATATGGACGTTGAATGCAATTATAGGGCCGTAGAAATCGCGTGGCAAACACGCTTTTTGGTGGAGGATGAAAGGGACGTGACAAATTGGAGGTATGGATGAAGATTTTTAGGAGGATAATATCAGAAACCTCCCCTGAGGTTTCTCCTAATAGCATTTAGCACCTTCAAGGTTTTACAAATATCACTCATGTTTTCTATTAATTACAAAATGACTATGTTGACCCTTCTTACGTAACACGCACATCGGGCTGCAAACGAGTCGAGTCGAGTCGAGTTTTGAACTAATCGAGTTGAGTCTTGACTAAATTTTACCAAACTCGAACTCGAACTCGAGTTCGACGAGCCGGCAATTTAAAGTTCGAGCTCGAGCTCGAAATAAATAAAAAAAATAATTATTTTATTTTAAAAAAATAAAATAAAATAATAGTTTTTCTTAATAAATAATAAAATATTAAGGATATATATGTAATTTTACTATTAAAATAAGAAAATAAAAAAATATATATATACTTAAAATAAATATATATATACTTAAAATAAAAAATATTATATATATATATACTCGAACTCGCAAGCCGGGCTTAATATTTTGACCTCGAATTCGAGCTCGATTTCGACTTGAGCCAACTCGAGCTCGACTCGAACTCGATATTGTTCGAGTCGAGCTTGAGCTTTGACTCGAGCCGCTCGCGAGCGATTCGATTCATTTGCAGTCCTACACGCACATCAAATAAATAGTTAAAAATTTAAAGAAAAAGAAATAAAAGTTATTTTCTTCTCTTTTCTCTTTCTCCAATATTCTATCTTGTCTATTTTTTTGGATAATTATGTGGTTTGATTTTTCTTTTTGCAAATGATCATAAACTAAATGTGTTTAACCTTTTTTCAATTTGAGTGATTATGATATAGTGTGATATGATTTCTTTGGTTATTTTGATTTGATTTTTATAGTGATTTAGTATAACTTAAAAGTTTGGATCATGGGTTGAGAAGAGATTGAAAAAAAAAATAAGGTTCATAAAAAATTGGTTTTGATCATATAAAGTTGAATTGGTCTTATTGTATTTCTTTACAAGTATATTTTTTGTTTCAAATTTATACTTTTACAAGTTATGACTTTATAATGTGGTGGCACTACTTAAGATTGCCTTTTAGGTTGTGGTTTTTAATAGAGTAAATAAAGTAATTTAAGAGTATTTTTGTTTAGTAAAAAGATCAAAAGGATAGTTTACAGTTTTTCAAAATTTTGTCATACAAATAGCAAAAGTAATGGAAGTAAGTAATATTTTTAAAATTTGAAGGATATTAAGTGATATTAAGAAATATTTTAGGGAAGTTTCTAATATTATACCATTTTCAGGAGGCGTATGGAATCTTGATTTCTAATTTTCTTTTGGGTGACGACAGATTCCTTTCTGGGCTAGTTGGATTGGAGATTCTGTGGGCTGCTATGATCTCATGTGTATGATTCGTTCCTTTTTTTTTTTTTTTTTTTGTCAAAATGTGTATGATTGGTTCCTGGTTTATTTCAATTTTCATGGGAACAATAAAAGAATGGATAATAGCACTTAACACTCATGAAGTTTTAAAATATCACTTATCCCTTTTGATAATTATAAAATAACTATATATTAACCTTCATTTTATGCATAACACACATATCAAATAAATGGAGTTTAAATTTAAAAAAAAAAAAAAAAAGCAAAAGTCACTTTTTTGTCTTCTCCTTCTCTCCAAGATTTTATGTTTTTTTTTTGGATGATTATGCAATTTTTTGTAAATTATTGTAAACTAATTTGTTTTAGTGATTGTGATAGATTGCAGTACAATTTCTTTGGTTATTTGATTTGATTTTTATAGCAATTTAGTGTAACTTAAAGATTTAGGTCATGGATTAAGAAGAGGTTAAAAAATAGCATTCATAAAAAATTGGTTTTGATCATTTAAAGTTGAATTAGTACTAATGTATTTCTTTAAAAGTATCTTTTTTATTTTTAAAATTTGTATCTTTATGAGCTATGACTTTATAATGTAGTGGTAATACTTAAAATTGTTTTTTAGATGGTTGTTTTTTAATAGAGCAAATAAAGTGGTTTAAGAATATTTTTATTTAGCAAAGGAGCAAAAGACTAGTTTAGAGTTTTTAAAGATTTTGTCCTGCAATAAAAAAAGTAAGTGATATTTTCAAAATTTTAAGGGTATTAACTGATATTAAAAGAAATCTCGGGATAGGTTTCTAATATTATCCCATAAAAGAACTTCTGACTTTGTGGGGCCTTGACGTAAATGACTTAGCACTAGCTAATCATGCATGCAGTGTGGACATGATGAGGCAATAGTGTGTGTATGGGTCTTATTCTTGGTCCCGTTGGATATAATTAAGGGACAATTACACGTACACTACCTAAGGTATGTGAGAATTGCACACATAGATCCCTGGTAGTTTTAGCAATTAATTTCACATATTTGTCCTTGTCCACTAAAAAATAATCTGTGCATTTGATAAAGCTCAAACCTAAATGACTCAATTATTCAAGTCATTTACTCTCTACCGTTTAAGCTATAAAATGCAAGCCTTCAAAATTGTTGCATCTCTCTTCCTTGGCCAACCTTCTACTATGTCTAACTTCTAGTTCTATCATCTTTGCCTACTCTAACATCCAATACAATTGGACTCCTTCAAGTTAGTATGCAATATTCTTCCTTTTTTTGTAATTATTGTTGTTTTATATAACTTACTAATTCCTTCTACCCTTCTCTCTATCAAGTTTTAGTCATTGTCTTTCAACCTATGTTTGGATTAGCTGTTTTTAAAAAATTTTACTGTAGCACTGTATATAAAAAATTTTTACTATAAATTTTTTTTTAAATATTTGATATATTGTATAGATGAGATGTTTTTTAAGTTATTGTGTATTAATGTAACATTATATTTGAAAAACTTGTTTATAAAAAAATGACTAATCCAAAAGAAGCAATCATTATTTATAGGAAAAATCGTCCAAAACGTCCCTCACATTTTATAAAATAACTTTTTTCATCCCTCATTTTTTAAAATGTAATTTTATGTCCCTTATATATTCACATCGGTCAAATTTAGTTCCTAATTAGGTTTTCGATTATTCTTTGGTCGGAATCCATCACGTGCAAGGCATGTGATCATTTTTGAAGGGTAAATTTGTCAAATTATATTTTACATAATCTGATCTATAGTCCTTCACATTTTATAAAACAAATTTTTTCGTCCCTCACATTTTATAAAATAATTTTTTCATCCCTCACATTTCACAAAATGAATTTCTCCATTCCTCACATTTCAAAAAATGAATATTTCCATCCCTCACTAATTATGTATATGAGAGAATCTTTTAAAAAAAATGTGTGTGAATACATTTTGTTTAAACACATATATATGTCTATTTAATTTTACTTAATAATACGAATAGCATAAATATATGTATGTGTCTATTTGATTTCACTTAACAATACGAATACCATATATTATACGTGATCATTTGATTTCATCTAGTATTAGCTAGTAAATAATCTTGCATTCATTGTCAAGTTGGCCAATAAATCTATTTTCGATCAAAATACAATAAGAATATGCAAATTAAGGTTCTATTGGTAAATATTAGTCATAATCATAAAAAAAGAGAAGATAGCCCACAAGTTGGACCTAATTACATACATATGTTTATACTATTATTATTAAGCAAAATCAAATAGACATATACATGTATTTAAAAAAATGTATTCACACACATAATTAGTGAGAAATGAAATTTTCATTTTTTGAAATGTAAGGGATGGAGAAATTCATTTTGTGAAATGTGAGGGATGAAAAAAATCATTTTATAAAATGTGAGGAATGAAAAATTTTATTTTATAAAATGTGGAGGATTATAGATCAAATTATGTAAAATATAATTTGACAAATTTATTCTTAAAAAATGATCACGTGCCTTGCACATAATAGATTCCGGCCAAAAAATGATCGAAAACCTAGTTAAAGACTAAATTTGTCCGATGTGAATATGTAAGGGATATAAAATTACAATTTTAAAAGTGAGGGACGAAAAAAGTTATTTTACAAAATATGAGAGACGTTTTAGACGATTTTTCCTTATTTATAATAAAAAATTCCATGTGAGTATATGTGTTTATCAAGTGCCTTTAGATTAGGTATTAATGAGCCTGTTTGAATTGCTATTATATGTGTCCCTTTTTTAAGCCCCCAATCTCCATAACTACTAATGAAAAGCATTATGTAAAAATGTTTATATTTATCTCTTGCTATTTGTACGATTAGGAGTCTACTCGACTAGTTGTTGATTAATTTAGATGTTCTTAGAGATTGTGACAAGAATGGGGTTAAAGGGGTGGTTGTGGCTTGTGTGAAAGGCAATAAATTAGCGGTCGTTAATTTTGATGTTTTTTAAAAAGGAAAATAGGATGGTGACGGTAACTTACCACATAGTTATGGACAAATCATCATCACCAGTATATAACCAAGAAATTGCCAACTGGCATCTTTTGTATATTCAATTTGTCATTCTCTATTTTTGACTCAACGCCTTTGTACTCCCCCTCGCTTCAAATCCTCTATCTCCAAAGAAGTCTCTGTCCCTTATTTATACAGCTGCCACGTATCTCTAATCTTTTGTTAACCCAAACTCAAATAAATTTTAGATTAAATAACTATTTCTTACAAACAAGTGAATTTTGGAATAACTAAAATTTAATTATAAACAAGAAAATATTACCTGTGACAATTGCGTTGAGAACAACATACGTTGGCTATTTGGTTCCCATATGTTTAAACCATCTCTAATACCAGTAGGACCTTCATGCACATGCTTAAAAAAAATGTAAATGAATAATTATATCATCAAGACTCAAAAAAAATTATATCAGCATAATATCTAATTAAAAGCTTGCTTTTCATGCAAACAAACCCATGGTTTATTTAAGTTTAGGTTAACAAAAGATTAGAGACACATGA